AAAGTATGTGAGATTTTACCTTATTCTTCTCCCTCTGGGCACTTTATATGCCCTGCCATGAATGAAGAACTTAATGTAGAGTAAAAATGTCCACATTTATTTCCCATATCAGAGCACATGGTTACTGATCTATGCCTAACTATAAAACAGGAATTTCTATTGAAAATAATAATAGAATAAAGTCTGTTAGCTATCATACTAAGCTTATTTTAGGATAAAATGTATGCAACCTCCTTAAAAAAGATTTTACAATTTATTCTTATAAAAGAACTGTGGTTTCAGCTTAGAGCTAATCATTAATCAGTTTTAATCATTCATATAAATATTGGTACTTTATAGTCTGACATCCTCAAGAATTACAGCACATCTCCATCATAGGTTAACAATCTAGTGCTACTCCCTAACTTGATTTCATTTCGTGAATACATTTTTATTGAGCCAGGTGAACTCAGACACCACCCAGCGGTAAAATATTTTAAGATGATCTTAGGAGTCATATGCTTGGCTCCACAATTCTAGGAGTATTTGACTTGGCTCAGGTCAGTTCTCAAAATTGAGCCACATTCAAAGGGCAGACACTTGATAATTCAGATGCATCCTGACACTTTCTCTTACAAAGGCCGGATGGAACGTTAAAGTGTATTTCAAACTCATTAACAGTGAGTGGATCCTGTTTGGCACTGGGATTTAAAAAAAAAAAAGTCTCTGCAGCTCTTCAAACTCTGCTTCTCGTGAGCTCGGAGCAGTTCGGCAGTAGGAAAGGAACACAGAATTGTTTTAATCTGCTCAGTCTGCAAGTTTGAATCTGATCTCATTTTTCCCCATGTAGGTTCAATTGTCTGATCAGTTCACTCACTACTTAACTAAGAAAACCCAGTCTTGTGAGCCACAGAGATCTAACAAGTTGTCCTATTGTGTCTCTAATTCCAGAGCATCCTTGATTTGGCAGTGCAGCTCAGTAACTCTGATTAGCCACATTCTGCATGGCCCAAGTACTTGACAGTAAACCCTGTAACAATAAAACACCTAAGTAGTTCTACTAAAAAAAAATTCTTCTGTAAATAGGAACTGGGGAAAATTCTAGATGGTTATTGTTTCTAGCATCACTTCATGTGGCGAACCTGACTTAGGAGGGTCACAGCACAAACTCTTCTGACAAAAATCATAGTGGAGGCAGGGCACACAACCTTCACTATTGACCAAAACAAACTCAAAACTGTACTGCATTTTATTGCAGGAGCCCTATTAGTAGCAAGTGAACTCAGTGTTTTAATATTTGTAGTAAAACTCTCAATTTTCTCATGAAAACAGTTGTTTTAATTAAGTAATTAACAAAGGATGTTATTTGTTGCAAGTCCCCAGTAGGCCACACCAGGTTATTTCGGCTGCATTGGGCCCACAAGTAGCATAATGGATTACAGTACTCAGGATGGCCACAACCCCAAAATGACACCAGCTTTTGCCCTTTGAAGTCCTCTTGGCTATAAAGGAAAAGCATTTAGAAATTTCCTCTGGCTTCATAGGGACTTATAAGAACCTTTTGGTCCTCTTATTAGATGATAGATTTCAGAGGCCAGCCAGGGCTTTCCTGAGGTTCTTTGATCATCAGAGTGTACAACTCAGTTTAAAACACTTTTATGTGATCTTTTTTATTCCCGCTACCAAGGGACCAGACTGGGGGCTGGGGACAAGACTGGGGATGGGCCCGGCTGCGTTTGAGCTTATGGTGGCTTCTGGTTCCAGAGAGTATGGGGGACAGGCACAGGAGTCTCTGTAATCTCTGTGTGGACTGTAGTCTCAGGAACCATCATGTCATTTGAACAGCGTATTCTGTGAAACAGGAGGAGAAATAAATTGTCCTCCAGAGAAATGCAAATTTTTAAAACCTAGGAGACCTCAGTCGAGAAGGGACTCATGAGGCCTCAGAACCTGCAGTTTGGCCTTTGCTATATGAAAGAAGTGGCTTTAGCTGGGTGAATGAAAGAAATTTTTGTTGTGTTTTTGTATCACTTAGTTTGGTTTTAAGGAACATTCTTTCATTAGAAAGAGGACTTTTTTTTTTTTGTGATCACGGAAACTAGAAACTTTTAGCTTATTGATTGTGGGGAGTGTGAATGAGCAGCTGAGCTCTAGGCCGGAGAGTTGGGCTCTGGGAGCTGTATAGATTCCTGGGTTCCTGCACCATTAGGGCTTCACTGGCAGGGCAAGTGTTTGAGTTGGTAATTGATTCTGTGCTAATGACAAAAATCCCAGAATCCCGACTCACTCTGATGTAAAGCTTGAAATTTGAAAGTCCTCAGGGCATAAAAATCCATATACCCAAATCTAACGTATTTTCCTGTCAGTAAAATCAATTTACAAAATTTAAAAAACCCACAGGACTATTTCTAAAAGCAAAGAATCTGGTTTTTTAATTTCCCTAATTCTAGAATGTTTTTACTTTTGATAATGCACTACTTTGTGAATCTGTAAAATGTTTTTTGTTTCTGCTTCCTGCCTTCCCCCTGCCATTGCCTTTGGCTTGGCTGCTGCCTGGCCAGCCACAGACCCAGGCGCCTCCCTGAGGCTGCAGGGCAGGTGGGTGCCCAGACCTGTGCTCCCCTTGGGCCCCGAGGCTTTCCTGAGTAGCGGGGCACACACTTGGCCACTTAATTACTTCTCTAGAGTAATTTGTTCAGAGTTGTCCTCCCCTAGAAAGTGCTAACTCTGTGAGGGCAGGGACCTTGTCTTCCTGCCTGTCCACGATATCCCCCGGAGCCCGGCGCGGTGTCTGGTACCTAGCACGTTCTCAATATGTATGTATGACTCAGATCTATAAATTATATGCAATGTAATTTGGAATGTAGAATAATTGTATACTTACTTTCAAATAGCATGTATAAGATCACTGAACAATATTATGCATTGGGGGGATCCTTCCAGATCTTGTTTTAAGGAGTAAATAACATCTGTATATATGACCACATACTAATAAATGATGCTTTACATATTTAAGAATAGTTTGTCTTAGACAGCTTTAGCTGTTCTCTTTAAAGTCTGGTTCACAGTATTATTCTCCTTGGAAAATCACTTTCTTTTAGCTAATGCCAATGCTCAGTATCCACCAAACTATCAGAAATTCCAACTTATTAAACTCCTAAGTGTAGCGAAGAATAATGCTACAATTAAAAAAATTATTTTGGAAATTTTCAAGCATATGAAAGGAGAGAGAATAGTAAACAGAGCTTTGTGTGTCCGCTGTGCAGCTTTCTTGGTTGTCGACATTTGGCCAGTCCTGTTTCACCTCTGCCTTCTCCCACACCTCCTCCACCCTCCCACCCCTGCTCACTGGTGGATTATTTTAAAGCAAATCTAAGACATCATTTCCTTTCATCCATAAATACTTGAATAAGTACCTCTCTAAGGCAGAGAGTCTTAAAAAAATAATCACAATACCAGTATCACCTAAATATCAGTAACAATGTTGTCAGATATCCAATCAGTGTTCAAATTTCTCTTGTTTATCTATGATTTCTTTTTTAAACTGTGAGTTTATACAAATCAGGATTCAATTTTCCTTTCCCTTTGATTTTTCTCTCTTTGCCTTGCTTTTTATTTATGTAATTTTTAAAGGGGTCATTTGTCTTACAGAACTCCCCGTGTTCTGGATTTTGCTGATGTCATCCTCATAGCAGTCTTCTAAATATTCCTCTTTTCCTTAAATTTCTTGTAAATTGGTGGTGAGATCAAGAATCTGGATAAGATTTTGGCTCATTTTTTCTTAAAGCAAGAATGAAAGTGGTCCATCTTACAGCCTACCGATTCCCTGAGCAGTATTCTCAAAACTGTCGAGATCGTCAAAAACGAAGTCAGCACAAGTGTCGCGGTGTTACCTAAGGGAGACATAATGACCGAATGTGATGTAGGATCCTGGCACAGAAAAAAAAAGTACATTAAGAAAAACTTAAGAAACTCAGAATAAAGAATGAACTTAAATTAATAATAACATATCAATATTGGCTCATTCTTTGTAAAGAATTTGCCAAGCTAATGCTAGGTGTTAGCTGTATAGGAAATTGGGTTTGGGATATATGGGAACTCTACTACTTTCATACATGTCTGTAAATATAAAATTATTCTAACATTAAAAGCTTCTTTTTTAAAAGTCAACTAGTCTCTCACCCCTTCCCCAGTTGTGAAGAGCCAGGCATTAGTGGTTGCCATAGATATGAACGTAAAAAGACTGTTCATATCAACAGAGTGGACTCCTGCTCAGAGAAACCAGGGGTTTGACGATGAACTCAGAATTTGGATTTTCTTGCCCATTAAACTGAAATGGAGAACCTATAGCATCTATAATAAATAAAGCTTTAAACCAAATATTAGTTTCATGGAAGTATCCCCTTCCTTTGTATTTCTTGAATAGTCTTTAACTGTACTGTCTACCCCAGCCACACACTTCAGAACCCTCTTTATGCAGTTGCATGAAATAAAAATACAATCTCTTTTCTTGTAAGTTGTAAAAACAAAAAAGTGGCCCATCTTTCCCCTCACTGATTTGAGATGATACTTCCACTAGATTTCCATATTAATACCACCATTTTAAATTCTAATGAAATAAAGATCACTCTAGTGTAGTTAGTTCCTAATAGGCTATATTTTTGAAGCCCAGTTTTTTGAATGATGATTTTGTTTCATCTTGACATTGTTTTCCTTTTCAGATTTGGCAAGAAAAAAAATACACATTTGCTATTTGTTTTTATAATTCCTGAGAATTTTAAAGGTATGTGCCTGCTGGATGTATTATTTGGTTGTTTTCCCAAATAGAAGTCGTATGATCAGTATTTAATACAAAGATTCTTAGGTTGTATTTCAGGGCACGAAGCTGATATTACATTAACTGAACCACTAACAATGGAAAAAATGACTGTTGTGGTAAAATACTGGAAAACATACTTCTGCAGCACTGGTGAGTGAAAAACAAGTTTCCAGAGGTTTGAAAAATTCTAATTAAAATTCCACAAAAACAGTATTTATACATTTTTAAGTTGGTTTTCCACTTGTACCTTTTATTTGCTAAGGATTAACTAACTGTACGCTGTGTGCTGTAAGGAACATGTAATCCCTATTAATCATAGTCTGAAGAAAACAAGTGTAAGCAAAGTAAAGGGAAACATGTCCTCTACTTGTGAAGAGAAAGTTGTCTTCAGGGATTTAAAATGTGTTGTACAAGGATAAATACAGTTTAGTGGTTAGGCACAGAGGTTTTTTTGTTTTGTTTCATTTTGTTTTGTTTGTAGCCTGCCGTCATTTCTTAGTCATTTATATGGAATTGTTCATGCTGTGTTGTTGTGTGATTGTCTGAAAGTCAGGGCCATTCACCTTGAATCTTATGGTACTTTGTGCTTTTGCAAAACACTTGCACGTATTATGTTACTTCTTTAATTTAAAAGGATGGTTATCCTTTTCTGTTTTAGATTTGTAGACACAGATAATTAGTGTCAATACTTCAATGAGACCCCACATTTCTAAACTCTTCACCTATATTGTGTTATGTGTATTGCGAGCATCTAAACAGTTAAGATAATTAAATTAGCTTTTATCTGGCTTGTAAAAGGACAGACTCCAATTTCAGAAATTGAATTCAAGTGGAATCGTTGGTCAATGACTATGGTTTTTCAAGGCTGAGGTTACTAGTAGGAAATCTTTTTAAATTAAGATATTTTTCTTGTTTTAAAACTGTTTTTATTTTCATTTTTAATTTTTTTTGGTGGGGGGGATATAATTAGGTTTATTTATTTATTTTTAGAGGAAGTACCGGGGATTGAACCCAGGACCTCGTGCTTGCTAAGCATGCGCTCTACCGCTTGAGCTATACCCTCCCCTCTAAGATATTTTTCTTAAAAATGAGCCTGAAAGACATTTTTGGGATTATGGGATTACTGTGTATAAGCTCATACTCCAGATGATAGAAGATTCAGTACACCCCTCCTTTTTAAAAAGTTCTTTTTCAGTATTTAGGGAAGATGAGTGAGTCTGTTTTGTAACATTCCAGTGGCTCCCTGCAGGTTTCGGCGTTCTTCTTGGAGATGGCTAACCATCATGACCAGACTCCTTTTTGCAACCTCTTCTCATTTTGCTTCTCAGTGGAAATGGAGCAGCTGCTCATCACCAGCTGGCCGGCACCCTTCCTGTTGGTCGTAACCATGTCTTGTCCAGTCAGCTTAGAGGAGGAGCAGCTGCAAAAACAAAACAAAACAAAAAAACCCCAAACAAAAAAGCAACACAACCATCAGATGCTATATTTTGACAGTGCAGCTGCTTAATGAAGACTCATATGTATTTTCTATCTCTGACATTTACCTGTAAATAAGAACTTAATAAACTCAGTTGAATGCATTTTAAGCACACCTGTCACTAAGTTAGTAGAATCTGGTTGAAAGAGGATGTCCTAGGGTAAATTGTATGTAGTATTTTAATTTTCTCACCTGGGTAGCTTCATGCTTTATTAAAGTGGTCCCTCTTTTAAAACTTGCAGTTAAGAATGAAATTTCTGTGAAGCCTGAAAAACCTGAATCTCCCCTGCCGAGGTCCTGCAGTGAACACCGGGGATATTTTTCTACTGATCTGTTTGCTTGGTTAGTTTTTTGGGTTTTTTTTTCACTTTTTCATAATAGCAATTTTTACCGTGTACATTTCATTAAAAATTTCTGGAGAACTTACTGATTGTGGAACAACCAGCTCAAGTGCTGAGGGTGGTGCCAAAGAATTCTTAATAGCTATTTTGTGAAAGAGGGGTGCAGCTTGTTCCGTATTTCAGAATCCTGAGCTGGCACGATGAATACACATTACAGAAGTTGTCAGCTCAATATAAGGAAGCACTTTGTAACAATCACAGTTGACCACGGAGGAGCAGGTTGAATTATAAGGTAGTAAGTTACCCATCACTGGACATGTTAGTGTAGAGGCTGGGTTAAGTAATAGTAGTGATGTTCAAACTTTTAAAACAATGGAATTCTCTTTTTCAAACAAAAATTTTACATATAACCCCAATATTTAAACAGATAAAAGCATCCTCAGCTATTATCCATCTGCCACTAAGTTTCTCCCTGATATCTTTTTGGAACTCATGAACCTATCCCCCCATTTGTTGAAAACAACCTTTAAAAATGGTCTTTCTGTCGCTGCCTCTCTCTCTCTGAGATATTGAACTGGCATTCAAGCCTGCATCTGATAGGCCATTGAACCCATCAGTGGGAGGTTATTCAAACCTTTTCAATTCTAACATTGTATGCTTATAAAAATTCAGTTTTAGTGAATTTCTTTGCTTCCCTTTAAGCTGATTTCCAAGGAGATTTTAAATAGAGCATAGGGCTATACAGAATCAACATACATGGTGAGGACATGGGTGATGATGGTGAGAATATTGAGTCAGTTACTTCCAGAATTTGTATAGTGAGACCATCAATTATTTGTAGAAATGTGACCATCTACTATTCTGAACAAGGAAGAGACTTGGCAACCAATAAGCGTGGTTAAACCAAAGATGCACTCACTAAAGGAGTGCAAAGATAGCAACAGCTGTGTCTTACCCTCAAACGCTTTAGCCACGGAGAAGCTTACCACATCACGCTTCATCTGGGATATGAGGTTGGGAAGGGTTTTGGAAGGCTTTCTGATTCTCTTGTTTCTTGCAACTGCTTTTTGAGCCCTCCTCAGCTTGTATCTTTGCTTTTTCTCAGAATCCTACTACTATAAATAAAAGTAAAATTTCGAATCAGATTATGTCCCTTGGGATAAAGGAGATAATATTAGTTTGTCAATTTCTTAGGGAAGTATGTTTAAAAAAATCAAATCAATCAATCAAAATGCCTAGAGAAGTTCTAGATAAATGGTAGAGCCCGAAAATGTCCATTAAGTGACAGAGTTTTACATGGAGGGAGGCTGCTGTTTTCTGATCGAGCTGGAGTAGTTGCCTTGACCCTCTGATACTTTGGGCTTTTTCCTGTAATGCACCTTTACGTACAGTCATGTAATTTGGAATACTCAATAATCAGTGAGGTTAGGATATTTTAATCCTGCTTGTATTTGTTATTCTTTATCAGTATATTTTAGAATTTTGATCAGTTACTGAATTTGTGATCTTGATAATAAATTCTTTTGAAATTTTGAAATAAAATATTCTGCATCAAATAACGTAAGGTAAAATGCTTTGCTGTTTACTGCAGCTTTGTATGAAGGTAGGGACTCAGAGAAGCTTCTTTTAATTAGTGTATTGGTGCTTATTGTGTACTGTTGCCTGATATTTTTTCTCTTAAATACATGGTATGATTTTCTCCTGTTTCTAGCTCTGAATCTCTAAGAAATGACATTGGGCTGGAATTAAAGGCTCCGTTGTCAAATTTCGAGAAGAGCAGAAAGATTTCTCTTCTTCATTCAAGCAAGGAAAAGCTGAGAAGGTGAATTTTGATACAGCCCCCTCTTTAGCATTATTCCTTTGCAAGAAGAAGTTACTTCCATGAATGTCATAATTTTTCATACTATTGTTAAAAGTCAGTGTGAACCTAGTAAATCTGGCAACTGAATACGTGCTACTCACTCATTAATTTAGTCATTCAGCAAATAGCTACGAGTGTCTGATGTGCCAGAATGTGATTGGAGAACTGAGATAAATGAACCGTTGCTTTCAAGGAGATCTTAGTCTAGTGTTCAGATAGACTTCTAAATAGGATATTAGATGGGAAATTATGTTTTAATAAATATCATGATAGAAAAGAACACATAGTAAACATGCTAGGAAAGTTACCTCAGTCAGCATGAGGGGGCATGTCCTATGAAGGAATTTGAATTTCATCCTGAACTGTTCAGGGGGCACTAAAGGGTTTTAGCAAAAGGGTGATACAATAAAATCTGTACATTAGAATGAACGCTCTAGCCAGATGTGAGAGAGTGAATTGAATCTGGAGGCCAGGGGAGTCTGTAATAAGAGATGATAAATCCTGAACTGTGGTGTTAGAAATAGGATAGTGAGAAATAAGCCAATTCTAGGTCTATGAAGTCGTTAGAACCTGTGAGCGTGACTGAAGGAGAAGTCAAGGGTAGATCTCAAGTAGATGGTGGAGCCATCGACTGACTCGGAAGTAGAGTGGAATGGCAGTCTGGCAGTGGGAGGTGGTTTCTTCTCTTGCTGAGTTTGAAAACCTCTAGGTTTAAATGGAGCTGCCCAGTGAGGAGTTGGCCCTTAGGCTAGAGAAGATCTAGGCTAGAAATACAGACGTAGATTTGTCAGGATACAGCATCTGTTTGAAGCAGTGGATGTGGGGTAGATATGATGACCATGAAAAGCATGTAGGGAAGAGACAAGTGGAGAAGAGAACCTTGGGAAAAATCTCAGTATTTAAAGGACAGGCAGCCAAGAAGAGATTGGGGGAAAAGAGTTACTGGGAAGATAAGAAGAAAACCAGGAGGGAGTGGTATTGAGGAGACCAGGGGAGAAGAGGGTTCCCTAAAGGAATGAGTGCTCAGGAGTAGCACATGACACAGAGATCCAGTAAAGTAAGAACTGATGATTGACTGCTTATATTTAGCAAAACCTCAACATCAACTGATCTTGGCAAAAACAAGTTCGTTAGCATAGTTGGGGAGGAAACACCGTTGCAGAAAGATGGAAAATGAAAGGTGGGAGCATGGATGAAAGGAAGGAAAAAAAGGTGTGTGGTATGTAAAAGGGAATTTAGGGGAAAGTGAGAAATTTTGATTAAGGCTGAGCCAGGCGTGAATATGCTCATATTATCTCCCAAAAGAAAACAGCTGGAAGAGAGGCAGAGGTCTTGAAGATACTCGTGTTCTGGTTATCTGTGGCTGCTTAGAAGATGAAACCAAAGTGTATTGGCTTGGTAGTACATGGTTTTTATGGGCTGGCAGTTTAAGCAGGGCTTAGCCAGTCAATTCTTTTGCCTCCATGACAGTAACTGGGGTCACTTGGTAGCATTCAGCTGGGGGATGGTCTAGTCAGGAGGGTCTGGAGCCTTTGCAGGGATGGCTGGAAGACTGAACGCAGCTGGGACTCTTCAGTGTGATAATCTCAGAGTTGTCGGACTTCTTGCATGGCAGCGCAGGGCCCCTAGAGGCAGTGTTCCAAGAGACAGGAAGAGAAAGCCCCTGTATCCCAAGGCCTGGGACCGGAAACTGCCACTCATACCATATGCTGTCGGTCAGAACAGTCACAGAGCCCACCTGGATCTAAGGGAAGGGTATATAGACCCCACATCTCAGTGGGAGGAACGTCAAAAGAATTTCGGTCCCCTGTAGCTGGTGAGGGGCACTGGCCATGGATTTAGCATCCCTGAGGTGGCAGCGGGCTGTGGGATCTAGAACCAAGTGGAAGAACACCTCTTCTACTGAAAATGGAGAGAAGGCGCTAAAACCAGGTGTGGATAAGATGTGTCTTGATGGGGCCAGAAAGAAGAGAGGAGGAACCTGATCAAGTCCTTGCAGATGACTTCTATTATCTGCTAAAAATTAGCGGGAAAATGGGGTTTTGGGCTTGATGAGGTGGCTGGTGGACGGGCTAGTCTGGTCCAAAAGCCTTCACTCACATGTCTGCTGCTTTGGCCAAGCAAAGACTTAGGACCTGTGGCCAGGCTAGTCTATAGATTTCACTGACCTGCAGTGAAATGAGAAAAATCCAGTGCAATGAATATTTTTAAACTATATTTTATATAACTTATATTCTAAGATTGTGTTTTCCATACTTTATTTGGTATTAAAATCATGATGATATTAGTAAATGGTTACAACAAAATATTGGGAGATGGTACTTTTCTTTCATTATTTTTCATGTCTAGATTGAATGTTGGCAATCCTTTATTGGTCCCCCAAAGTTCTGTGTTGGTTCTCTTTTTTAATTTTAGTGGTTGATGAAAACTAAAATCTGAGAACCACTTATCTAGTGGGCTAGAAAGATACTTTGGGAAGCGTCCACCCCTGTGGCATTATTTAAAGGACTAGAAATCTTTGTTTCCCAGAAAGCAAAGCTGGAAGGAGGGCTCCTCCACTCCCTTTACAGATTTGCTTGGGAGATACCAGAAAGACTGTCCATCCTGATGATTTTTTTTTGTTGTGTCCTTCTCTTAACCCTTCTGATTATGCCTGTGAATCTTAAAATAGATGCTTCTAGTCTGTTTCTCTTCCTCCTTCACCTTCTCTTCCCAGTCAGCTTCTTTATATATGTTTTTGTCATTTTTGTCTTGTTTTGCTCTTTTTTTGTTTTTAAGTAGCGTAGGGTAACATGATACTTGCTAATGCTGAGGAAATAATGATCCCAGCTGATGGTTTTTGATATTTGCATTTAGGAATTTCTCTTTAAAATAATTCTAACATCTTTGTTTTCTTTATTAGAATGGATTAATGAAAATTGGCTAATATTCTTGGTGAACTCTCTTTGATTATACATTTTAAATATATAAATATGTCTTTATCTTAGTAAGGTGTATACTTTTCAATGTGATACCTTCATTTTGTCTGTGTGTCTATGAGTCCAAAATGATGGTGGTTTAATAGTTTTCAGGATGTCACTCACTTGAAAAGAAGTGAAAGTGAGCTTTGCTGTAATTTCTCACAAATGAAGGCTTTTCCAGGACTGGTCAAGTCTTAGAAATTCAAGGAAGGTAGAATCAAAAAGTTCTCAGAGGGTCTGTGAGTTCTTGCTTGCTTGAGACACACTTGTACAGAGGGGAGATCAAGGATGTAGTTTGGACCAAGACTTTGGCTTCAGATGCCTTTCAGCCTCTAGGAATCACTATTACCTGGAGAAGAATGAAACCAATTGATTCTTCCCTGATTTGTGTGGATTGGGTCATGATCAAGCTGGCGCCTGTGGGTAGATGACGAAAACAAAACACCTTCTGTGACTCGTTGTTCCCTATTGCTGCTTCCACACACAGCGGAGAAAGAGAACAGGACCCTGCGGGGTCCCTGAGCTGGGTATCCTGCTTCTTGAGCCAACATTAACATCCTTCACCAAATATTTCCTAAATACTCCACTAAATATTTCCTTCTCAGTCTTTCCTTCTGTGGTTTTTGTTGTTGTTTGTTTGTTTAGTTTTTAAAAATTGTGGCATAAATAACATGCAGTGAAGTTAGCATTCAGTGAAATTATCTAGGCTTGGAATTTGTAAGACAGTTTTAATTATAAATTCAAATTTTTTCATGATTATAAGACTAGATTTTCTATGTTTTTCCTCTGTCAGTTTGGTTTAATTTATGTCTTTCAATAAATTTGTCCACTTAATCCAAGTTCTCAAATTTATTCAACAACTTTATGTTCGTAATGTTCACTTATTATCTTCTTTATGTCTAGAAATTTCTGATGGTGTTCCTTCTTTCATTCTTGTGTTGATAATTTGTGTTTTCTCTCTTCTCTTGATCAGTTCAGCAAGGGATTTATCAGTTTTATTGATATTTTTCAATGGGCCAGATTTTTATTCATTGATTTTTCTCTATTATTTGTCTGTTTTATATTTCATTGATTTCTCCTCTTTGTCGTTTCCTTTTTTTCTGTACTTTACTCTTTTATTCTAGCTTCTTTGGTGGGAACTTAGATAATATTGTTTTTTACCTCTTCTAACATAAGCATTTAAAGCTATAAGTTTTTCTTTAAGTTTTTCTCTTGGTAGTGCCTTAGCTGTATTTCATATATTATATTTCATTATCATCAATTCAAAATATGTTTCTCATAAATGTTGTGATTTTTTTCCTTCACCAATTATTATGTAGAAGTGTGTGAGTTAATTTCCAAATGTTTGGAGATTTTCTGGGTACTGATTTATAACTCAATTACACTTATCATCTGAGAACACGCTCTGTGAGGTTTCTGTCCTTTGACATTTTATGAGAGTTGTTTTATGGCCCAAAGTATGGTCTCCCTTGATGAATATTCCATGTACACTTGAAAAGAAGTTATGTCCTGCTGTTTGGGGATATAATGTTCTATAAATTACTTAGGTAGATTTGGTTGGCAGTGTTTTCCTGGTATTCTATATCCTTATTTTTTTTTTTTTTTTGAGGGTTAAAGTCTTCAGTAATGACTGTAGATTGCTCTGTTTTGCACTTTTTTCCTTTCAGTTTTGGCTTCATGTATTTCAAAACTTGTTAGGTGCTTATCTTCTTAATGAATTGACCGTTTATCATTAGGAACTTCTTGTCTTGGAATCTGCTTTGCTGCTCATATAATTTTCTTGTGATTAATGTTTGCATAGTTTTCTTGTAATCTATATATGTCTTTATATTTAAAGAGTGTTTCTTGCAAGCAGCATGTAATTGAATCTTGTTTTTCTATTTTCTTTTGCTGTTCTGACAATCTCTGCTGTTCGATTAGAGTGTTTAGTCTATTTACATATAGTATTACTATTAAGTTGGATTTTAGGTCCACAATTTTTCGATTTGTTTTCACTTAGTC